GAGAGAGAGAGAGAGAGAGAGAGAGAGAGAGAGAGAGAGAGAGAGAGAGAGAGAGAGAGAGTCTTTGCCAGTGTCCACGGAGTGATTCTGACATGTTCTGCCCGGTTTCTTCTCTGTATTTTGCCTTCCAGGAAATGCTCCGAGATGCACGCCCAGCATGACGGCTCACATGAGAACACTACTTCTCGCTGCTCCCCTGGGCGCATAGCTACTGCCAAGCAGACAGACTGGATTCTGATTACTTCATTCATTTATTAGAAGACCTTCTTACCAAAACAGTGGCACTGTTATTGTTGAAGGGGACTTCCAACAACTGCCCCCCCTGGCCATTTTGCAATCACATCATCTCAGCGAACGTCCCAATTCTTAATCACCCGATCTCGGCCCACCGAACTTACTCTCACACCCAGACATACGTGCACTTCCGTATGGACACACCCAAAGAGTCCAATCTCGCCAAGTAAGCATCTGGGATCCATGCAAGATTGGTTGATCACAAACACATTCAGCAAACACAGCAATCAGACTCAGAAGAGACTCAAAATCGGAATCTTGAGCTAACAGATTAACGGGGCACCGTTTTTCCCGACAAGTTTTGAACTGTTGGGCTGCAAATGTGTAGGTCATTTCACGCAATCCGAAATAAGAATCAAGAATCGATGATTTTCATACAAACCGCTGGCAGTAAAAGAAAGAAAAAAGGTTCAGCGGTATCTAGCAATCAGTCTAACAGAACAAAATCCTTCTGAATCACCAGGATGGTCAGTGGGATGATGATATCTCAAGGCTGCTGCCTTTCAGAAAACTGGGGGGATAAAAGTGAGTTGAAAAAGTCCCATGAGAAGTTTCCTGGATGCATTTGGTCTTTTTTTTATGGGCCGACCTGGATGCACCTGACCGGAATTACCACCACAGGCAAGTTGAAAAAAGTCCCGGTGTGAGTATGGCCCTCCCTTGCTGTTCCACTCACCAAATGTGCAAAATGAGAATAAATCTTTCACAAGAAGCTGCGAAGGTGCACTGCCGTAACATTTTTCGTCTATGAATTCGGTGAGTAGTGTGGGGAGCCCTATGCCCAGGGAAAACAAATTTGAAAACTGAGCCACTAGATGGCCAGCGCGCCCTGTTTATCTTGGTAAGTAGTAATCAATGCTGTTTTTTTTCCTTGAGGCCCTCTATGCTGCTCTGCTCTCTACTCTACTCTCTACTTTATCCTCTACTGTACTGTCTACTCAGAACTCTACGCCACCCTTATTCTCTACTTTGAACTCTATGCCACTCTCTATTCTCTACTCTCTACTCTATGCCACTCCCTACTCTCTGCCCTGTACTCTGTTCGTTACGCTATGCTTTGCTGCCTGCTCTCTACTGTGTACTCTGCTCTGCTCTCTATGCTCTACTCTACACTATTCTGCTGTATTCTATTCTACGCACTCCACTCTACCCTCTACCTTATACTACTCTCTAATCCACTCTACAGTACTCTCCACTCTCTTCTCTACCCCACGCTACTCCCTACTCTCTCCTCAACTCTACACAATACTTCTACACAATACTCTCTACTTTACACTACTCTGTACTCTCTACGCTATACTACTCTCTACTGTACCGCTCTCTCTACTGTACTCTACCATACTATCTACTCTACTCTATGCAACTATGCTGTACTCTACATCACTCGACATTAAACTCTTCTCGTCTCTACTCTCTACTAGCTGCTTTACACTGCTTTCAACTCTCTTCTCTACTGTCTTCTCTCTACTCTACACTACACTATGTTTACACTTATACTCTCTGTACTCTCTACTCTGTATTCCCCTCTACGCTACTCTCTACGCTCTACTTTTCTCTACCCTGTACTCTACTCTCTACTCTCAGCTACTCTCTACTCTACTCCCTGCTCTCTGCTCTCTACTCTCAGCTACTCTCTACTCTACTCCCTGCTCTCTGCTCTGTAGTCCCTGCTCTCTACTCCCTGCTCTCTACTTTCTTCTCTCTGCTGTCTACTCTCTCATATCTACCATACTCTCTACCCTATTATACTGTCTACTCTAAGCTACTCTACTCTACTCCACTGTAGTCTTCTTGGGCGTTGTCTTTATTGGGGCGTACAGGGAGATAATTCTTCGTTCCAAAGACCTAAAGGCTGAAACATCACTCTCTCTCTCATCCATGTTTGTTTTTCAAACAATCGACCATAGTTTCTTTTTTCAACCTGCCAACCCCCCATTTTTCGGTTCCAGCATTCAAGTCCAATTGGATGTTCTATGTACACTAATCTCAATTTCATCAATATCCCATTGTAACGCGGGCGGAGCCGCTGGCTCTTCTTGTATGTGTGTATATTGTGTGTCTGCAGATTAGTTGGGTTCGTTGAAAATTGCCGCGATCCATTTCTAAACGGTATGTAAAAAATACAACCCTCATACCTCCTGCCTAGTGCCACAATGCTCGACGCCTAGAACTGTTAATTTGCAGGTTGGGAGTTCAAATCCCAACCAATTCTGTAATTTGATATGTACCCCGGTGTGAACAACCGGATGCTCTGAATTCTTGTCGCCGGAGCCTTTATACTGAAGTCCAGTGCTGCCAACTGCTTCCTGTCTCATTCATCAACCTCTCTTTTGCCATTTCAGTGTTATGTCTCCCTGTGTTTTGTTCTGCACTCTCATCAAATAGGCCATAAATAAAAAAATAAAAAACAAGTTTGACGGGACATCTGCAGGATGGGTATTCTTCACAAGCTGCTCATCCTGGAAACCTCTTTCTGACCCGACCTTGCGTTGTCCGTTTTCTAAACTTTTTTTACACTTTTTTTTTGCCAGGAATGGTTGGATCTACGCTGAGCAGCAGTCAGAGAAGGGAGTGATTCTGTTGGATTTTTTTGATTTTTTTGTACGATTGCACATGTGCTTGCAAGTCGGGACTGCTGCACAGCTTTCCTAAGACCAGATCGTATGATAATGACTGCGTACGAGAGGAATTTCTGGCAGACGCACACACACACACACACACACACACACACACACAGAGAGAGAGAGAGAGAGAGAGAGAGAGAGAGAGAGAGAGAGAGAGAGAGAGAGAGAGAGAGAGAGAGCTGGGGGAAGGGAGGGGAAATAAATTGCAGGACATTGAGAGATGTGGATTTGGCTCATCTTGTGCAGGGCGAGAAATAGGTGGGTGACATCACCTTCAGAGGTAAAATGCTGCCCGCCCTTTTGCTGAGCTGTCAACGAGTATCACCAATTATGGGTCTTTGTGCCACAGCTTGAGAAGTACTATGCTGTTCACAGTTTCTGGGTGGGCAACCATTACATATGCTCTGCAGCATTCATGAGACCGGCAGTGGGTGAGAACCAGATGCAACACTTCAGCGAGACAGATGGTGAGAGCGATGTGATACTTCAGTGACGGAGATGAGATGCTTCGGTGAGAGAGATGGATTGTCGATGAAGATAGAGAGGCTGGGAGAATGAAGAGCGGAAAAGGCTGGAGGAATTCTCATCGGTCGAGCCAAACAACTGCATTGCTTCCTTGTTCCTAGTAAGAACTCTCTTCTATATCGATTAATCTCCGTTTGTACACCAAGTACTCTGTCCTCGTCTCCCTGAAGCTCCATTTGTATGCTACGAACTGTGTTTTCGAGTCCCTAAATATCCGTTTTGTGTACTAAGAATTACTAAGAGATTTAATCTCCAAACTGAGTAGTCAGAGACAAATAGTTTTCTGCACGTAGGCTGTAGGCTTTCTGAGAACCGTCTGCTGAATTACGGATTTTGTTTTGCTATAGAAAGCAGCTTGCCATTAGTCACACTGCAGACGTAGGAACATCCCAGTGACCGTATCTGTCCAATCCGTCAATGTCCGTGTCCATGGAGGAGGGAAGACACAAGTACTCGGTGCTGCTTCCGACGTACAACGAGAGGGAGAATATTGGAATCGTCGTTTATCTCCTAGTGAAGACGTTAGATGGCATACATGTCGATTATGAGATTATCATTATTGATGACAACAGCCCGGACGGCACCCAGGAAGTTGCGAAGAAGCTGCAAGATCATTACGGTCAAGATCGCATTGTTTTGAGACCACGACCTGGGAAGCTAGGACTAGGTACGGCGTATGTTCATGGTATGAAACATGCAACCGGGAACATTATCATAATCATGGACGCTGATCTGTCCCACCACCCGAAATACATTCCACAGTTCATCAGAAAGCAACTGGAAACAGGTTGTGATATTGTGACGGGTACACGCTATGCAAAGCAGGGAGGCGTGCACGGTTGGGATTTGAGGCGGAAGCTGACGAGCAGGGGGGCGAATGTGCTGGCTTCGACATTACTCTTGCCCCGGGTCTCTGATCTGACTGGATCTTTCAGGCTTTATAAAAAGGAGAAGTTGATGGAGTTAATTCAGAAGTGTGTCAGCAAAGGATATGTTTTTCAGATGGAGATGATTGTGCGCGCAAGGCGGTCACATTTTCACATTGAGGAGGTCCCAATCAGTTTTGTTGATCGCGTTTATGGGACATCAAAGCTCGGAGGAGCAGAGATAGTTGCATATCTGAAAGGCCTCTTCTTTCTATTTTTCACTACATGATAACAGACGTTTCAGTTTGCTCTCTCTCTCTCTCTCTCTCTCTCTCTCTCTCTCTCTCTCTCTCTCTCTCTCTCTCTCTCTCTAAACTAATAAAACAGGAAATGAGCTGTCAGCGTTTTATACGGAATAAACAGTGAGAGCAGTTGGAACGATTGTAATTGCTGCTCCCACAATTTGGACAACAAGTGAAGCTCGGTGACTGTAAGCGATACAAGACAAGGTGGGCAAGTGTGTTTGTGTCACAGATCGGCAAGCATGCATGTTTCTCACTGTCTTATCATTGGTACGCTGTCTATAGGTTGCCATGCTGTAATCCTTTCTTCCCAAACTTCCTAGAGCAGGTTTAGACCGTTTGGTGACACCTCTCCTCATACCATAATAAAACATGTACCATTGGAACATGACCAGTGCTCTCTCTCTCTCTCTCTCTCTCTCTCTCTCTCTCTCTCTCTCTCTCTCTCTCTCTCT